CAATTCTGATTTTTAAGCAAAAATAGTTTTGTTAAGCAGGGTTGTAGTTTTTTTGTGTGTGTTTGTTTTAAACTGAAATCCAGGGCGGCTATCCAATGGAAGTACTGGTTTTGTTACACAGATCTTCAGCTGGCTTTGTGATTCATAGATGCTTTCTTCAAAGACTTCTGTATGTAGAAATAGAAGTGAATTTTTTTTGTCTTGTGAATTAGCAAAAACATGATGAAAATACTTCTCTTAGTAGCAGACACATTAAATTCAAGGGGGTTTTATTGAATGTTGTCAAACCACTGTACATTAGAAGAGATTTGTACCTCCCACTTTGGATGTAAAATTTTTTCTAGGATGTCTTAAATACATCACCAACCAGTGTTAGAGTAAACAATTTTTGTGTTGAACTTGGATAATTAAGAACTCATGGAAGAGTGTATACTGAGGTGAGACAGGGCTATTGAGGGGCTTGTCATGTAAAAATAGAAAAATACAGAAACTGGCAAGCAAAATGAAATAAATTCATGTAAAAATAAAACAGGAGCAATATCCTGTTGTAGAAGCAGAATAGTCCATCTCTTTTAGAGAAGTGCAAGGAAAGAACCAGAATAATTGTTTGCTTTTTTAAAAAGTGGTTGTTGGTAGAACAACATTCAGAACTTCTGAATCTGTTTCTGAAGACGGTATAAGAAGTTTAAAAGAATCTGCAGTATCTATACAGAGATTTATGGCTCCATGTCTGTAAAACCTGACGGTTGTCAGGATGTGAGAATTACTTTGCGGTCTGATGATGAGGGCTGTCATTATCAGAGGAAGGGATCGCCCTGCGAGTTGGGCTGAAATTACGCCAGTGAAGACACTGGCTCTGTCAAATGACAGTATGCTGAGGTCTGAAGGTGTTTTACATTCTAGTTAACTGCCAATTTGATTGATAGTTTGTTTATAACTAATACTTTTGAATAAAGTGTGTTCCCTGTTGGAGCTTTTGCTGTGCAGGGACGAGGTAGATGACAGGTGATTTGAAGGTGGCGCTGAAAAACTGTTTAGGGACTAGCGCAGGCAGAGTTGCTCTAGCTTGACTTGAAACTGAATGAAGCGTATAGCAGTTCTGAAATTGAAAAAGCAAGGAAAATGGATGTATATTTGTCTTGTATTATAAAATGCGAAGGGATTTTTTTTTTTCCTTTATCTCTGAGTAGGCTAACAAGTGGTATCAGTTATGAATCAGAACTATGGACAAAATGGTCAGGAATATTTGCGTATGGTGACAGAGCAGATTGATAATAGTTGTGTGCAAGGACCTTAGACAAATTATTTTGCAGAAAGTCAGTATGACTTTGCAGAGACATCATTATGTTTTGGAACTCTCACAGGCATTGTGTTTCCATGAGATTTTTTTTGTAAGGGGGAGGAGAAGGCACAGTAGTACCTACTAGACTTACTCATTTTATGAATAAAGTGACATCTGAAAACTTGTCAGAATTGCATGGCTTGCCATTAATTTAATTAAAGACATTAATAAAAACCTACTAGCATTATATGGAATCTATATCCACCAAATTGTTCTCCGTGCTGGAGGAGCCAAGTGATTTCTTTATTGAGAAGTATAGAGAGATGTCCAAAGCATGGTTTTTCAATTATTCATTCAAGAAATTCTGCTGACTGGATCAGTGTTTCAGCAAAATGATCTTCCACAGGTTATTGGTGCTGCGTTTGGTGACCTCCTGCAGCTCCTCAGTTCAGCGGTTAAAGAGCACAGAGAAATCCTTTTCCTCATCGTACGGCTCCACTCATTCCATGCGATTATACCATTCTTTTCATCAGAGGAACATTATTAGATGTGGCAGTAATTTTAAATTTAGTTCTAAAGTAAGAAAGGAAAAGTTTTAAATAATAAACTGTAGTAGGAGTGTGTGGTTTAGTGCAATGTTCACAGGGCAGCAGGAAGCTGCAGGAAGTGGACAAAGGGGTTCACAGGTGGAAATAGGTACCACGAGGCGACAAGGAATGGCATGCTCGGAGAATTGTCTCGCATGCATCATTTACCCATCTTTTACAAAATGTCACTGAGAGGCATTGCATTTTATCTGATCCCTGGCAGTCATCCCAGTCAAGCAGGTGTCCCATTTATCATGATGCCGATTAGAAAAGACCGTTCTGTTCAAGTTAATTAGAAATTTTAATATGTGTGGAAAATGGAACATGTTTTTTTAAAAGATGAACCATGATATATGCATTGTAAGTTCATACACCTAAAACCTTATATCAACTATATTTTTAGTGTCAAAAATATTTGCTTATATGTCAAACATTCCTTTTCTGCTTATTCTCCTGTTGTTCCAAACTTTCTGCAATATTCAATGGGTATATATTCTGCTGTTCACAGACAACCTTAAATAGTTTAATTCTCAAGAAGTGTGTATGGGAGGAAGCTCAGAGAAAATTTCCATTCCCTCCTTCCCACTTCACTCCCCCTCCCCTAAATTGTTAATGCTTTCTAGTAAAAATTCTTTTCTAGAATGTTATCGTTGAAATACTTGTAAAGGAGCAGGTGAGAATGAAAGCAGAATAACTGGGAGCACAAAGAGTTTTAGTTATCTGTTGAGTTATGTCCTGGTTTTAAAATCCTTTTGTCTTTGATATATAATTGACATTTGATAGGCGATGTCGTAATAAGAATACTGTGGACCTCCAAAATGAGAATGAGTTCAAGTCTGAAACTGGATGTCAGGTTGCTAAGAGCATTTTAGCTATTAGCATTAAGATTAATTAAGATTAATGCAAGCTCTTAGCAATCCTTCGCATTTTATAATTCTGCTAGAGTAGTGAATAAAAAGGAATACTGGAATATACATTTTTTTAAATGATAAATTTTGAATTTCTATTCTCCCTCCATGTATGAAGTTGTAATAGTGCTTTAATGTAGTTCAACTACGTGTAGACCAGAATGGAGAGAGCTACAAGTAAAACAGTGCATGATAGTAATTTTATGCTTTACCTGGCTGAGTCACACACTTCAAATTAAAAGATTCCAATAAGCAGAAACAGAGATGATCGGTTTCTGTTTGCCAGTTTGGTTAGTGCCTTTAAAAAAGATAGCTAGAAATGTATAAAAAGTATAGCCTCAGCTGATTTCAAGTTTGTCTTTAAAAAGAAAAGGTGTAGGGTTTTGTATTCTGAGAGAGGTTTTTTTGGTACTTGAATTTAATGAAATATTTTCCATGTGTTTTTGTAAATAACAAGTGTATTCTTATTACGGTTTTTTCACTGGCCTGTGAGTTTCCAAACTGTGCAGTAACCTTGCAAGGGATCCGTAGAAGGCTTAGCTGGTGTAGAAATTAAAAAAAAAAAAAAATTTTAAACTTTTTAACGTTTGTTTAAATATTTTCCAATGTACTTATTTCTCTGCTGAAGCACAGATTAACAATGAACTTTTGAAAGAATTGCAGATTATTTTTTTTCCTCATTTTGTATAGACATCTGGTAAAGGATCGTGAGCCTCAGATGTAAATTTCAAAATGAGAATAGGTAAATGCAAGCTGCAGCTTCACATTCCAAGCATCGGCTGTACTGAAAAGTAGTGTTTCGCTGGAGGATTTCTTACTCATAGTCTTAAAGTATTTCACCACATGAGAGTACAGTCATAGAGTGTGTTTTTCAATTAAATTGTTTCTAAAAGCTGAATAGTGAAAGCTGTATTTGTAGATGCAGTTATAAGCACAAATATGCTAATGACTGTGGATAAGGAAAAAAAGCTAGGGGTTTTTGTAGCAAAATGGTTAATTATTCTGTGCAAACAACTAGAGGTTTAAATGACACATCATGTTATATTATTATTGTTTATAATATTTGGCCATCAGGCTTTTGATCTATTTTAAGATTGTTGCTTTGAGTTGTACAGCCCATAGGGAGATACAAATGTTAATTCTCAACTCTTTTCATGCTTCTACTGTTTACTGAGGGCAGAGTTTGATACTTGATTTGAATAATTTAGTCAGTAGGTCTTGTTTTAAGTTGGACTATACAGAGGCAATGATACTAAATTAACAGTCTAGGCCAAAATGTTGCTTTTAAAACTGACTGTGATTTATTGAGTTTCTGTATTTGCTGTTTTATGACTATGTGGTTATTTATACGTCAAAATTTTTCAGATGTTACTAAAAGCACCTACAACTTCAGGATAGTGTCTTCATCTCTACAGTAAAATATAAATTGAAATTAATAAAGAGGCATTTTGTAATTCTCCTAATTTTTGCCATTACTTGACAATTGTAGTTCTTGATGGTTATTTGCTTTTCCTTAGACAAGTCGTAGTTTAACATGGAAGTGTATCATCAATTCTTGTAACTGTTGATTGGCTGGTTTCATTAGTTTGCTTAGTTAGATGGTTTTCCTCTGGTAAATACCACCTTGATGGATGTATTCACCTCCATATGGATTTCACAGTCTTTGAAAATGTAGAACAGAATATTTAAATCCAGATTAGTTCAGACAGTTATTTTACAGGAGCGTAGCTATGTTACTAGGTTATGCCCTAGTTAGGGAGTCTGCCAAACATATATTTTGAATGCTGCCCTGAAATATTTTTCAGTACATATTTGCAATCTAAAGTAAGTGCTACTTGCATGTTAAAGTGGTAAATGTCATTTTTAATTTGTCCACAAATGACTGTGGTGTCCTATATCAGAACTGGTTTGTCTTTATCTTGTAGTGCATAGAATCCTTGTGATTTCTCAATATTTCTTTTTGGACAAAGACTTTTTCCTTGAATAAGGCTGTAAAGGTTCACCTCCCTAAAACTTGTTTGAGCCTTGAGTGTTCTATGTAAAAACTGCTGATTTGTCGAAGCTTTCTGTGTTGACATTTCACAAGCTCTAATGTTAAACCCTAAATAAGCAGTTTACTAGCAAATGATGGCAGTAGTAATGTATAATCTGCTTTGATGTGCAGTCTTCTAAGTGAAGTATTTCTTTATGGAAAAAAGATTTATTTCCCTTTTTGTTCTACAGCTCCTGGAAGGAAGCTTTGCTAGAGAAGTTAGCCATGAAGTGGATGGACTGATATTTCAGCCTACAGGAGTAAGTAGTGTACAAACGGTTTTGTCTTCCTTCACTTTCAAATGAAATTCTCACCCTCCTTCCCCACTCATCCTCCCATCTACTACCTAATGTTTGTTTTGGTCAGGATTACTTCGCCGTGTTGGTTCTGATTTTTGCAGTTCCTCAGACTACTTAAATTCTGCTAGTTGCAGTCTAATTTGTAGTATGCGTGACTTCGGATTAATCCCTGGGGGTAGTTGTCAGGAATCAGCTCATGGGTTTTTTTGTGCATGTACCATGATGTGCTGCTAAGTAAGGAAGGATTTTTTTCTGACTGCATGAGTTTTGTGAATCTTTCAGCCATTGATTTGAGCTCTGGGATTGTTTTTCTTTCTCAAGGATGTTCACACATTAAAATTTTAGTAAAATTTGTGACTTGTGTTGTTTTAGTGCAATTAAAGCATGATATGTTCTAGAGCCGTGTCTGCCAGTATAAAGGTATATGACTGGGGTGGGGAGAAGTCACCAGAAGAACTGCATACAACCAGAAAAAATAATATGAAAAGTTCTCAGGCAGGAAGGATGGCTTTAAAGGAAGTCAGTAGCGTGGCCTTGTCCATCCTACTGCTGCTCCTCTTGACTCTGATACGATGGATACACTGCAGTGTATGTTGTATATTGGCATAGATAGTGGTGGTAACATCATACATGTTGACTTTTTCTTAGCTTGTAAAACAAGGAATTGTTTTTGAGTATTTCAAATTTGACAGATATTTCTACCCTTCCAGTTACTCACAGAAAATATTTGTATTTAGTTTTCCAGATTAAACAGGTTTTTCTGGTCTACTTACTATATTGTAGATCTTAGCAAGGGTGATGACACTCCCATCAGGCCATACGATTAACCTCTGTTCTCTATTGCAAGATCTACATCAGCAAACCACAAAATAATTGAGCAATTAGACCACATGCCTTTTTTTTTTTTTTTTTTTTTTTTTTTTTTTTTCTTTCTACTGCTAGGATAAAGAAAATTCATACTTTCATAAGAAGACCTGATAGTGCCTTAGAAAACTGTTGAAATCTAAAGCGATTGTAAAGGCTTCTCAGAGCTATTTTCTTGAATATTAGAGCTTTAGCTATGCAGAGTTACTACAGCTAAATTTGAATTTACCTTTTCTACTTCAACTAAAATTACTGAAGAATGTGTCTCTTTGCTGTCATTACAGGAAATAAATATCTGATATGTTTTGTGTTTCTAGAACTTGTGTTTTCTGATTTAGCATACTGAGGAATTTATAAACCAACAAAAACTTCATTTTCTTGCATAAATGCTCATAAAGGTTTTTCATCTTTAAAATATGGGATATATTTGTTTAGTCTAATGTTCAGATTTCAGTATTATTTCCGGATTTATGGAATGTAAGTTTGTTGCAGCTGTTATTAAACTGATTTTCCTAGATTATGCAACGTGCAGTTTTCTCAGTGGCTTTTGTAGTTGAGAAAGTATAAAAAATGTAGAGCAAAAGAAATTATTGTAGACCTCTTATTTGGGAAGTAACTACTAAAGCTGATTAACAGAAAAGGGTGAAGGTGATATAGATAACTGATACTGCTTTTTTTATTTTATGTAGTACAGAGGACATTAAATTAATAGGCCACAGTACAAAGGCAACAGAGTATAACAATGCATAAATGATCCTTTGAGAATACTAACTGAAAAAGTTTTTCTTTTTATATTATAGTTGCAGTTATATGTGTGGTGTGTTACACCTTTTCACAGAGAAAGATACCTATTGTTGATCGGGATGGAGGCCTGAATTTTGGTCATCATGAGACTTAAAGACCTTTATAAAACTGGTTTGTCTCAAGTGAAGAGACCATGGCATATCCAGAAGAAAACAATGCTTAGCAACCATTTTTATTGACATATTTGATCTTGCAGAAAAAGACAGACAGATCAGGGAAATTCAAGAACACCTTTTGGGAGCTGCTGAAGTCTCATGTGCATTTTGAAGAGAAGAAAACAGAAGTAGACAGGAATTTGAGAAAAATCAAAAAGAAGGATAAAGTGATTTTTTGGGGGGGAAAAATACCCACGCTTTCCATAATTTTAATAGTTAAACCAGAATGCAGACATTAACTAATTATTTAATATAAAGAATGTTGAGTTTATTAGTTCAGTTTGTTTGAAAGTATTTTCTGTGGTTTTCTTTTTTTCCCCCATTTACTCAGAGGTGTTCCTCTTGATCTCTAGTCTTAGACACAGGCATCTAGACCTGACTATACGGATATATTCCCCACTAGGTATGGGCAACACTGGTACTGGGTGTCAACACAAAAGGACGACGAATATTTTGTTGTTTCGAAGTTTGGTTTAATTCTGACTTACAATAAAAGTTAAAATACCTGAAAAGCTTAGTGAATAGGAATTATACTTTTAGCCTCTAAGAGCTCTGGGTTTTCTCACTTTTCTCTTGGGGTTGAATAGATTTGGCATCTAGTGCCTGTGAGTTCAGTTTTGAGAAATCAGCATGCTTTAGTGAAAAGGAATTTGTGAAAGTTTTACTACCGAATCTAGGGTTTCAGTTAGATATAATAGGGTTTATTTTCTTCTGTTAGTCTTCCTACCTGAAATCCTATTATGAATAGCAAGATTCTTGTATTAAAGCAGAAGTTGTTCTCACTGTGACTGGTGATAGTAGAAAGAACGTTAAGGAGTAAGGACATTTTCTGCCTGTGCATGTTAGTTTATCTTTCAGAGTCATGCTAACTGAGCATTATTATTCCTAATTCACCAGTTACTTGAGTTATTGGTTATATTGGTTATTGCCCAGGATGTATAAGTGCTTTAATTTCACAGTGGCAACTGAAAGGCAATGACTCAGGCCTCTCTTCTGCTTCCCTCTGCCTCCCTTTCCAGAGACTGAAAGCTTTCGCAGATTACGAGAAGAGCATGTTTAGTGAAAGAGATGGAGGTTTTTGCCTCATTTATAATTTAATACTGTTTTGTAGGTGATGTGATGTGTGCTTCATAGTGCCCCCCCTGTACATTCCCTGCATGAACCTACCATTCTCTAACAACTCCATGGCGAGAGACATATGATAAGACGATGTTTTCTTACTATTGTTTCTCTTCTTCCCTTTGTACTCTTCCTTTCCTCTTTTCCTCTTTTCCTTTTCATGCATCGCCTCTATCCAACAGCCCATTTCCCACACTCCGTTTGATTTCCCATTTATGTCGCTTCTGCCTAACGCCACTTTTCCCTGCATCATTTTCTATCCATTTAAGATGCTACCAATCTAACTCCCATATGGCTAAGTCAGCTCCATTCCATCTGATCAGCTCTCCGATCCCTCTACATGTAACAGGTTGGCAAAGCAGGGACCGAAGCTAAGTGCTAATTAGGAGGAGTGAAACAGGCCAGCAGGAAACTTCATGGACAGGTATGTCGCCCTGGGAGCGTGCCCCAGACAATGAGTGAATTAGTTTGCAGGTAAAAGCCAGACCCCTTATTCACAGGTTCTGAATGCTTGTGCAAAGATTGGAAGCTTTCAGTCCTTTTTTCTGAAACATTACTTCAAACCAGTGAACAACTTACATTTGTTTTAGAGCACTTGTGGTTTGCCAACCTGTGTGTTTTTAATGGAAATCTCAAAAATGGCCTCTTATCTTCTGATGTCAGGATCAGGTCTCTGACCTATACCCACTCATCGGTGAAATTACTTTTGTTATCTGCTTTGTAAATCATGCCTTTGCTAGATATCTCAGACTGTCTAATTTTTATGCTAGCAATCTCTTAATAACCGACTTTCTTGCTGGCTAGAACTATTACTTTCTATTGCTTGGGAAAAGGATGTAGGAATTATTTTCTTACTTTAGCCATCTAAAAGAAGACTCGCTGGCCATCAGTTAGGAAGGCCTAAGGGCAGTTTTTGAGCATCTGTGGAAAGCTTGTATCAGAATTTATTCTCTTCTGTTCCATCTTCTTGCCCCCTGAGCTCTGTGATGTTTTTGCATTCACTCAGGCTGATTTCTGTTTAGTACATCTCCGTGCTCTTATTTCGGATGAGGAATAAAGTCCAATTGTGTGGGTTTGGGATTTTACTGGGTAAGGAAGAAGGGCAGCTGCTGAGCTCTGTTCTTCTAAGACAAACGTCATTTTAAAGAATGGCTGAATTATTTAACACATAATTCTCCATACTGAATACTAACAAAAGCTTAGCCTTTAAAATAAAGGAGAAAAATGAGCAGGTTTTTATTACTGACTAAGATTGCATGAGTTTTTAATATATCCTCCTTCCCCTCCCTTGGCAGACTTGGTGGTGATCTGCAATGCTTGGTTGCCTGTTAATTATTTGTGCTATTCCCATTGTAAAATAGGCTGTGTTATTTTCTGTCATTGTAAAAGTTCATCCAAAATCACTGAAGTTAACACTGAATGAAATATCTCAAAAAAATACCACCAGATAAAACGTCTCCAAAAGGCTATATTTTGTTTCATTAAGAAGTGCCAGTTTCTTCTAAATAATCCTATATAGTTGGTAAGCCTTTGCTTCCAGAGTATGTGTTTTATTGAATCCTCTGTGATTTTTTAAACATTGGGCAAGTCAATTGCTGGCATATTGCTGAAATTCAGACATCATGTTTACCAGTGATGGTGCATCAGTTATTGTTAAATATTTCTATTGCAGTAGCAAGTAATGGGTCCAGATAGGCTCAGATACAGTCTCAATACCAAAGCCAATATATAAGGGCTTGGGAAGAATCATATGATAACATAAATTTTTACTTCTAACAAATATATGAGTTTCCAGATTTAGCTTTCTAATTTTGTAAAGGTTCATGTAAGACTTGGAGGCACTGGAATAGAATAGACTGTTTCAGCTGGACGGGACCTACAACATCTAGTCCAACTGCCTGACAGATTCAGGGCTGACCAAAAGTTAGAGCATGTTAAGGGCATTGTCCAAATGCCTCTCAAACACTGACAGTCTTGGGGCATCAACCACCTCTCTAGGAAGCCTGTTCCAGTGTTTGA